ACGCTTAACACCAGACATCCGGGGAAGATAACTTCGCTAAGGTATGATTTGGACCTTTTTACTGAATTTACTCAAACTGGATAAAAAACGTGATCATCGGAGAGTTTTCTATGAAGCCGCTCAAGTTGAAGTTTAGGGTCATTTTGGAATAAATCCTAATAATTTATTACGTAAGATTATTGCTGCGACTGGTATTTCATTAGGCTCTGTTCACACAGTTACTGAACTCCATAAATTTCGTCCATTCAAAATGAAAATATTGCAAGACTTAACCGAAGATGATTTTGATAGGCCAGTTGAGTTTTGTGAACAAATGACTGCAGCGATTAGTAATAATATCATTCATGTAAAGAATATCCTGCTTCAGTGATGAATGCACATTTTATCTAAATGGATTTGTTAATAAGCATTTAACTGCAGGTGTTGGAGCAATGAAAATCCTCATGACTCTGTAGACGGGGCACACTCAGTACCCCCAAAAAATTAATGTAGGGGCAGGCATTTTAGGAAACAAAGTGAATGGGTCATTCTTTATTAATGGAAATTTCAATGGAGAGATTTATTTGGATACGTTGGAAAATACCATCAATCCGCTATCATTGAAACCACTGAAAACTAAATCGAAGAGGATGGAAACCCTATACTTGATGAGGCTGAAATATATTTCCAGCAAGACGGCACTATGTTCTTCCGGTTCGGCAATGGCTAGACGACGAGTTTCCAGATAAATGGGTAGGGTGAAGAGGGCCTATAGAATGGCCTGCTAGATCTCATGATTTGACACCATCAGACTTTATTCTGTGGCGCCATTTGAAATATATTGTGTTTACTCCCCAGCCTGAAAGTTTGGATGAACTTCGTCAACGCATCATCGAAAGCTGCCATGATATCCCGCAACATGTTTTTTAAAATGTCCGTCAGTGGTTTTCGATAAATCCGTGCTGGGAAATTTTCAAATGAACACCCTGCATATATTATAACCGTCTTTTTGACTAGGAGAGATGATACATTTTGAATGTACCACCCCTTCTGTGCTCACACACAAAGAAGGCGGCTATCTATGGTTAGCTTCCAGCAGCTCAGTTGGAGGCATGAGGCTAAAGACAGGGTATGGCAAAAGTTGACGAGAAGAGTGAAGAATAGAACAGAATACAATAAAAAATTACAGATTTCCTTAATCAAAAACCCTTTTATTACATTACAAAATAAGCAGCATAATGATAGAAGATAAGCAATAAATACGTGTTGCATGTATGATGATTCTGAAGAAAAGAGAATAACAATTCGGCAATTCCGCTTCAGGTAAACAAGCGGTCAAGGTCAGGAACCCTACTAGAGATGGGGATGAGTATAGATAGACAATTTATTTGCCAGAATATATACATGCAAAAATGGAATAAAACATTTGCAAATACATAAAATAATTCCGCAGAAGGAAAACCCGTGTGTGCGTGTAACACATTTATAAGGCAGCAGCGGTGGCCGCAGTGGCAGACTCTTCGGTCTCCTGATCAATCGCCCTTCGCTGCGCGGGTTCGAATATCGTTCAAAGAGAAACTTTTCGGCTATGGATGGATGTTGTGATTGTCCGTAGGTGGTAGACGATCTCGGACAGTCGTACGCGGAGGTACCACCCGGCGGATCTCGTAGGCGGGGCCAGAATGTGTGCATGTTGCATGCACACGTGTTCCCTCGCCAGAGTCCGCGTGGCGTTCCCCCCTTTTCCCTACGAGGGATGTCTTTTAAGTTTTGCATATACAGTATATTCAGATAAGAGATAGACCGGACATAAACAAGACCACGTGATCATCGAACGCTGTAACATTCGGCAGGGACGTATTAAGAGTCACGCAGTACATATTTTAGATAGTAGATGCTGCTTTGCGTAACTTTGTAGTAAATTAGCACAATTCGATGTGTATACGATTGGTGATGGATATAGGATCATGTGGGGGTGGGGTAAGAAATATATAATGATGTAAATATACATAAGGGTTTCAAAATTTTCGCTTCGATTTCCAGCTTCGGATGCCGCCTGATGTTTGGTGAAATACAGTCGAATATAATCTCAAAATGGCGTTTAAATTAGCCTAAATTAAAAATAATCGTATATCTCTTAAAATTGCTTTTAGAATATTGATTAGTATATTTTTTGATTTCTAGGTAAATATGTAACCAAATTAAAACATTCAAAACGTAAAAAAATGTGCATGGTTGAACATTATCAGAAAGTAGATTCTTGAATAGGTTTTGCCAAAATGGGTTCAAAAATGTCAATAATTAATTAAAAAATACAGTAGCTTATAACTTACCGAATTTGATGAACGACATCTTTTATTGGAAAGATGAGCTTGATGAGCTTTCATCATCGCTACTGCCTGAAGCACCAACGTCAATAATGAATGGCTCGACTTGTTCCTCTAAAATATTGTCCAGTTCCCACATTCTCTTTTCAACTTTGTCTTTCACGTGCTTAATACAGTTTTCCCATTTTTGCGCTGTTATTAATTCTAGTGCTTCTTTGAAAAGTCCTTTAAGGTCACAAAATTTAAAAGTTGTATTGTGCTTAGCTATATAATTTTTAACCTCTGCCCATATGAGCTCAATGGGATTGAGCTCGCAATGGTATGGAGGTAAACGGAGCACAGATTTATTTTGACTTGCTGCCATTTCGTCAATGGCGTATTTTTGATATTCCGCCTTGTGATCCTTGACAATTCTTAATAATTGTACTTTCAGCATTCTTCAAAGTTGATATTTTTCGAGCGGAGCCAATTTTGAACATCAACTTTCCTTGAAGCCGTTGTTGGGACCTTCTCCATTCTTCGAGAATGATAAGGCGCATTATCCAACACAATTACTGCGTTTTCCTCTAAGTTCGGTAAAATTTTTGAAAACCACTGTTCAAACGATTCGCCATTCATTTCCTCGTGGTAATCTCCAGTTTTCTTAGACTCAAAGCACCACAGACCGTCAACAACAAATCCATCCTCACTGCCAATATGGCAGATAATGAGCCTTTTCCCTTTACCTGGAAATCGAAGTACTAACTGGTGTAGATTTATTTCAATAAGCGAACCTTTTTCAAATGTTTTCATCACATTCAGCGAAAAAACATTGAGACATGAGTATCAGATTGCTATAATTAGGATTATTTAGTCATATTGAAAGAAAGAATATTGAACGTCGTATGATTACTCAGCGCTTCACAATTTAATTTAAAGTTATAAACCTTTAAAAAATGAATGATCAGGAACCTGAAATACGCGCAAATATTAATATTAACAAATTATAACTTTATAAAGCTTAAAGTATGAATTAAAATGATTAGAAATATTAGGAACGGTACACAATATAAAACTTAGTAACTTTTTTAAGTTTATAATATTCGACATATTTTAAGATTATATTAAAAAATTATTGAAATATCAAAAACACATAAAAACATGGCTTAAAAAAGTTCTAACAAATGAAAATGACAATAAAACATCCACGCATTTTATCGAAAGTTATAAAAGTTTTGTTACTTGTAATATGTTTTATCTGTCCCCTGGAATTAATGTTTAGAACCTTGTTCCTCGTATTTACCTGCTGGATTTTTTAATCCGGTGGACAGTCCATCTAGAAAGGCCCTCCTGGATGAAGTTACAGAATCATCAACCCATACTTTACTTGTAGTGTGTCCTGCGTTTACCCACGTTTCATCAAGGTAATAAATCTTCCTGTTTTGATTTCTATATTTCCCAATTTTTGTTAAATAATCCTTCCTCCATAGCACAATTTCTTCTCTATCCAGTAGTAAACTATTACGACCCCGTTTTTTCCATTTGAAATTTAAATGCTTCAGTAACGCATGGAAAGTTGATCGTTTGAAATTTGGCAACGTTGTATCTCCATTTACCTCCTGCAGTACTTTATCTATAGTAGGTATTTCATTCCTAAAGAAGAATTCATGCACTTTCCTCCTAATCGCATGCTTATCAGCTTCATCCAATGATTTAACAATACTTTTGCGATGTTTACTGGTCATTGGCTCAGAAAAGGTGTGATTTTTTTTGTATTGTCTTAACACATTAAACACTGATGCGCGACACACCCCAACTTGGAATAAAACATTTGCAAATACATAAAATAATTCCGCAGAAGGGAAACCCGTGTGTGCGTGTAACACATTTATAAGGCAGCAGCGGTGGCCGCAGTGGCAGACTCATGCACTTTCCTCCTAATCGCATGCTTATCAGCTTCATCCAATGATTTAACAATACTTTTGCGATGTTTACTGGTCATTGGCTCAGAAAAGGTGTGATTTTTTTTGTATTGTCTTAACACATTAAACACTGATGCGCGACACACCCCAACTTTGTGAGAAACCTTCACAACAATTTCTTTGATGGTTGATGCCTCGTTCTCCTCGCGCTCGATCTTATATATATTCAAAATGACCTCTTTCATTTCTGCACTCAGGTGTCTTTTTTTAGAGCGTTTCCTAGGTGGACTACAGGAGTTTACAACTTCATCGGCAGTATCTGTACTACTGGGCATTTTGCGCAAGCAGTTGATAACAATAACAATCAATAACAAGGTATAACAATAACAACGACAAACTCAACAACTTAATAAGATAACAAACGAAAACGTCCAAAGAAATATCAAATTGCAATGATGCACACGACATACGTAACACGTCTGAACCTGAATGTGACTCTGCCTTGATACGACTGCTCTGCCGCTCGGCATAGGCATTTAATTGCGAATTGACCAATGAGGGCTCCTGTTTTACGTCGAGACGGCGTCGTTAGCGTGAAAATCACCCGAACCTTTTGTTTACATCCGGTCTATCTCTTATCTGAATATACTGTAGAAACATAGTAGGCCGCGCGGATCGAACGTCAGTACTGAATCTTAACCTCCCTCTTTAGTAAACGTAAATACAAAGTTTCACAATACGTGCAGTGTTCTCACTACAGTGAATTTTTAAGTGTCAGCAAGTCATTAGAAAAATGGAACTCAACCGAGAACATGTTCGCGCCATAATTTATTACAACTTTCAGAGACAATTATCGCAACAAGAATGCCTTGCTGAGTTACTGTCTGTTTTCGGCAACGAAGCGCCACATCGGTCGACAATTTCCCGTTGGTATGGAGAATTCAAACGTGGACGGGTGAGTCTTAGTGAGGATCCCAGGGTGGGTGCACCAAAAACGGCAGTCACCCAGGAAAACGTCGATGCTGTGCGCAAACTCATCATTGAAGATAGACATGTGACATATGCGAGATTGAGGCGTCCTTGAAGATCTCAAAGACCTCAATTCAAAAAATTTTACATGAAGAATTAGGAGTAAGAAAATTAGTTTCTCGTTGGATACCCCACCTGTTGGCTGAAGAGCAGAAAGCAGCCAGGGTTAATTGGTGTCAAAAAACGCTTGACCGTTTCAATTCCGGAAACTCAAAAAATGTGTACAGCATTGTTAGTGGTGATGAATCGTGGATTTACTAATATCAACCAGAAAATAAACGACAGTCGGATGTTTAGGTGTTCCAAGGTGAAGAAAAGCCAACAAAACTCATCCGTTCTCGAGGTGTTTCGAAAAAGATGGTCGCGACAGTTGTGTCACAAACGGGTCATATTGCAACAATTCCTCTTAATGAGCAAAGAACTGTTACTGCGAATTGGTATACCACCATTTGTTTGTCAAAAGCCATCACTGATCTTCGAAAAATCAACCCCGAAAGAAGAATGATCGTCCACCAAGACAATGCAAGCTCGCACACAGCCCAAAAAACAAGGCAGTATTTAACGGAAGAAAACGTGGAATTATTGGACCATCCTCCATATAGTCCCGATTTAAGTCCTAACGATTTCTTTACTTTCCCGAAAATTAAAAACAGACTGCGTGGTCAAAAATGCCGTTTTGCATCTGCCAGCAAACGAGTGGAATAAGTGCTTCGAAAATTGGTTCGAGCGCATGCAGATGTGTATTAATCTTCATGGAGAGTACTTCGAAAAACAATAAAGTCATTTAAAACTTTATTTCCATATGCAAAACTTAAAAGACATCCCTCGTATAGCCCCACGGTACCTCATGGGTGTTAGGCCTTAGGCCTTCGTGGTAGTTCCAAAAATTAATTCGCCGCAATAAGGGCTTAAAATATTGAACAGTAGTTTCAAAAGGATATACACAAAGTTACAGAATCTCAATAAAGGGTCAAGTTTAAATGAGAAGAATCAAATTAAGTAAACTTTTGGTATAAGACTATATTGGTGTTTTGAAATTTCAGTATTTGATTAAATCTCATTTCTGGGTATGCTTAAAATTTATATTTTATTTCTGAATAGAGTAACAAATCACGTCAAGGTTTTGGTCTAGGACTATGTTGGGACTTTCTTGATGTCAGTCATTTGTAAAATGTCATGTCTGGATGGGCTTAGGATCCATTTTTTATTTCTGAATGGAAAAGCTTTTGGACTGTATTTGTTGTATCTGTTGTGACAACAAACATTCTTTTCTGGATTTTTATTCCTCGTATTGTATTAATGTCTGATAACACTGTTAAATACAGGATTTGTGACATGACAGTTTTTAGGTCCATCTTATGTATTTTGAGACCCTTAAATCAAATCGAAAAACAGAATTTTTCTATCACCCACAGATATTCGGTAACATCTACTTTTATGAATTACAATACGTAAGATCTCATATTGCTGCATTCCTCGACGTTTGTGCGATGACGCACATATATAATCTTAAGACCTATCTATTCCTGTTTATTATATGCGAGCTCTATGTTTAGAGAGCACATTGTGTTTATTAGTAGACTAATAGCAGCCCAGTCAGTTACGTTTTCTATGTTGAAGAGTACTGAGATGTTCCGAGTACTGTTAATTTTTGTTAAAACGGTGTGTTGTTTTTAGTTTATTGCGATCGAGCCTAGCTTTATGGACAATGCTTAGAAATTGTGTGAATAGCGCGAACAGTTTTTGTTATGTCTGCGGAGAGCTAACTTTTAAATCCCAAAAACGTACTTTTACTCCCTTTGTGTTGAAAGCATACGAACTTTATTTTGGAATTAAAGTTGGCGATCAATATAAACTATGGGCCCCTCATATATGTTGTAAGACTTGTGTAATGTTGTTAACAGATTGGTTAAGAGGCGACAATCGCAAAATGCCATTTGCGGTTTCAATGGTTTGGAGAGAATCGAGAATCGAAACATACTGCTAAGTATTTTAATTTACCATCAGCTTTGCGGCCCGTTAAGCATAGTGATGGACTTTCTGTCCCAGTTCCACCAGAGTCTTTGGATGAAAAAATCGAATCCACCGATTCTGAAAGTGATACAGAAAGCGTACAAATTTCCGATCCTTCGATTGACCTGCTAGGATGTTTAACAGCGCCGCATTTGATCACACAGGGCGGACTTAATGACTGAGTTCCCAGTCAGAACTTTTAGCGTCAAGGTTAAAAGGATGGAATCTTCTTCACGGTGATGTTGTCATTACTTTTTACCGAAAACGGCAACAAGACCTGACACATTGTTTGACGCGTTAGGACAGAAACATGATCCAAATGATTGGCGCCTGTTCATTGATTCCTCTAAGCTTAGTTTAAAAGCGGTATTGGTACACAACGGTAATAAATATCCATCTGTACCTATAGCGCACGCAGTTCGTATGAAGGAATCATATGAAAATATGCGAGTTCTGTTAGAGCATATCCGTTATAATGAATATAAATGGGGGGATGGGGATGTGCAGATTTAAAGGTAATAGCCCTTCTTCTTGGAATGCAACTGGGATATACCAAATGTTGTTGTTTTCTTGGTGAAAGGGACAATCGTGTGCGAGATCATCATTAAAACAGAAGGAGTGGCCACTATGTCAGGTATTAAGTCCGGGCCTCAAAAACATTGCTCATAAACCACTAGTTGATCCCAAAAACGTGTTGCTTCCACCTCTGCATATTAAGTTGGGACTGATGAAAAATTTTGTGAAAGCTATGGTTCGAAATGGAAGAGGGTTTCAGCATTTAAAACAAGCATTTCCGAGACTTAGTGAGGCAAAAATTAATGAGGGCATATTTATGGGTCCACAAATACGGAACATCATGAAGGATGATATATTTGACAGTGCTCTAAATGAAATTGAATTACGAGCTTGGAATGTTTAAATCAGGTACTGAAAATTTTTTAGGCGGACAATTATAAAGATATTGTGAGTGAACTAATTAATGCTTATAAAGGAATGGGATATAACATCTCTCTAAAAATTCACTTTTTTGATTCTCATCTCGATTTTTTTCGGAAAATTTAGGTGCGGTGAACGGTTCCACCAAGATATTTCTGCTGTGGAAAAACGGTATCAAGGCAAATGGAGTGTCAATTTGCTTGCTGATTATTGCTGGACATTGTTAAGAGGTATTTCGTAAAACATCGACAACAATATTCTGAGATTAATGTTTATTCGAGTGTTTATTAGTACTCTTACATACGTATCCTTACATTTTACATAATAACCATCTTGTTTTGTCCATGTCACAAAAAATTATTTTAATTTTGTTCACCAGCGTGATATTAATGTTATGCGGATTTTTATATTGCCACGTCAGTATATTTAACTGATATGGACAGTGATGGTCGGAATGATCGAATTTCAAGGAAGGTGGACCAACAATATTTTGCATATTATTTACTATTTCTTACCGCATTAACGAGAAAAAGACAAATGTTACATGGCTGCAAAATAACCAAGCAACCCCAAATCCGATTGGTGATGTTTTGAGCGGAATAGTTAACTTTGGGTTATTAAAACCCTGAGCCCTCGTCGTTCCTCTTTCAGTTTGATTTAATTTATAGCGTTTGCTGTGTTCGACGTCCGGGGTGCGTTGTCTTCGGGTGGCGCGCAAGAACCCCGGGCTGAAGCCTGCCTGCCGGTGGTGGTGGTTTTCCCTCCAAAAAGGAGATGCGTAGCATGTAGCATGGCGTGGGTCCCGGATAGCTGGAACGAGGAGTAGTGTGGCGTCGACGGCCGGGACGAACGAAGCTGATCAGCTACGCAGCTGCCAGCCCGCGTGGTTCGCGTCGGATCAACAGACATCCCGACGCGCATCAGGTGGCGACAGAAAATACGGGGCGATGGGAATTTCCCTTTTTGTATTGAGATGAGGCGGTTGTGCGCGTAATGTAATTGCGTAATTGGTGGTTTGGTATACGTACAGGGTGAGATCGATGTGTCCCTAATGGAAAAATTTTTAAAAAGAAAAATACATGTTTATTGGGTCCCACTTTCTAAACAAAAAAAATAATTTATATTCACAAATCAGAAACGTTCGAATATCTTAATCCAGGAAAGCTAAAATTTATTCGATATTTAATTTTAAAGTGACTGACATTCAGGAAACGTAGATTAGTAGAAGAAGAAAAAATAAGTCCTGAGGATATCTACTTGGTAGTTCCAACAAAGTAATATATAACTACTTTTCTAAAAATGTCCCTGCCTATTTATATTTTGAACTTCTGATTAAGTAGGCGAGCTGGAATTCGGGGTGATGCAGTTGATGTATGAATTACATATTTTAAATTTTAAAATAAAGATAACAGTTGAAAATTTAACAAGGCTGCTGAGCTCAATCTCCAACCATGTTATGAAATATCACGGGAGTCGTGTGATACATCATTTTGAAGTTCCTTATGAGTACTTTGAAACTCAAGGATATACATCACTTCATATATCTTCGATACGATATTGCGCATTGCTATCTGCTGTGTGTAACTTTCTGATAACGCCTTCACTCGAAATGAAAATCTGTACATTGTACATACGCAGCACATACGTATCTGGAAAATTTGAAGACGTAGAAAAAAGTTACTTAAAGAAGTCGTTATCGAAGATTGCCAATACTTTGAACTTTTTTTCATATTTCTTTTCTGTCTCTAGGGGACATAATTGATCTGTTGGATCATCATGTAGCTTCAAAATGTGTTACAAAAGAGGTTTATGACTTTGCTCAACATTGACCGAGGACTTTATACCTGGAAGCGATAAGAGAATTTCACTTGTTGACATTCTTCAACCACACATAGAGAAACTATTCCGATAAGTTATTCCTTTATTAAAAATGCGTTTCTTAGATTTCAATGTTAATTAAGCTAGCAGGTACCTAAAGTCGTATAGAAAATGCTCATATATAAGATGAGTTTTTGATACCACACACTTCAAAACTACAATAACGACAAGTATAAAAGCACGCTTGATTTTCTTCAAAATAGTTCCAATGTCTTCTAACGTATTGTTTGAAAGGCAGCCTGCACTCCATTAGAAATTTTTAGTATAGCACATTTAAAAAAAAGGTGGATGCACATTAACCTATTAGACAAAATCATTCTAAAAGAGTAATTCTCTACTCGAAGCTATATATAAAAAAAGTAAATCAGCCCCAGAAATCAATAAAGAACTACTTATGTGATTTTCCATTTTCAGTCAGACTTGGTCGCTACTATTTATAGGAGTTACATTTTACGTTCTTCTAGTGCAGGGTTGCTCAAACTTTTTTTGTTGAGGCTCCCCGGACTATAAATTATATTTTCATGCTCTCCTTTACTTTTTCAATAAATACAAAAAAACGCACATTATATAGGTGCAAAGACCTTTATTTTAATTCTAATAAAGAATCTTTAAAAGTTTAAATAAACTAATAAATGTTTTTTATCGAGAAACTTGAATAAAATAAGAGTAGGTACTTATGAGACACTTGAGATTACATGTTCTGTATCACTTGGTTGATTCTAGGTTCTGTTTTTGCCAGAACTATCATCAAGTCGCTATCTACATCACGATGATTTCGCTGTTCAGTTTTAATTAAAACTAGGGCAGAAACGCCTGCCTCACATAAGTAACTTGAAGAAAAAGGACCTAGTATTCGTAAAGCAAGAGAGGCAAGTGTCGAATTAACATGCAATCTTTTGATCCAAAATTTCTACAATGTTAAAAGATGGAAGTCATCTTTCATGGACGAATCAGCCTTCATTCATTTCTCTTCATATTGGTGACTCTGAATTGATGTATCGGCGGAATTCATCTTCCAGCGCTTGCAAATGAGTTTTTAGGTCAGCTTTTAAATTTGCGTCCAGTATGTTATTTTTAATTGCTTCGAACAGTCGAGAAAAAGATATAAGATTTTCAGAAGACACTTTTGAATCCAAAGTTAATGAATTGATATGAACGCCTGAATATAATCATAATTGCTTATTATAGTGTTGTTTCTGCCCTGAAGTTTCAAGTTTAGCTCATTCAAGGAGTCAAATATCTTAGTTCAATAAGCCAACCTCCATTGAAATGTGTCATCTCTGAACATTGTCAAGAAATCGTGTTTTTCTTTGAACTCAAGAAAAAGAATTACTTCTTATTTCAATTCATAAAGGCAAGCCAACATGTTGTCTTTGGACAGCCAGCGTACTTTTGCATGTAACAGAAGAACTTTGGGATCAGAATCGAGATCCTCGTAGAGTGAAGTATATAACCGACTGTTCAAAGCGCTGCTCTTGATGTTGTTTACAATCTTTGTAGCCGAGTCCAAAGTCTGGAGTAATTTCTGTGGCAACGTTTTGGAAGCCACAATGTGTACTAACCATTGCGGGATTTTTTTCCTTGAGCTTTTTAGCTAAGCCCCATCGTACACCTATCATTGCAGGTGCGCCATCTGTGCAAAGTCCAATGAGTTTCTTCCAATCCAAATCATTTTTTTCAACAAAATTTGATATTGAATTAAATATATCTTCAGATGTAGTACGTGCTGTCAAAGATTGGGAGTACAAAATCTCTTCTTGGATGATATCTCCGCCGACGTAACGAACATAAACTATTAAATGTGCACAATTAACAATGTCGGTGAATTCATCGCAACTAATGGCAAGAAATGGCGATAATTTTACTTTGTTAATAATTTGTGACTTTATGTCTGCTGCAATGTCATCGATTCTACGCTTAACTGTGTTATTCGAAAGAGAGATAGACTCCATTTTTTGCTCTGCATCTTCTCCTAAAGTTATCTGCGTGGCTTTTAGGACACATGGTTTTAGTAATTCTTCACCGATAGTATGAGGTTTCTTTGCTTTGCTATCATAAAAGCTATTTCATGTGAAGCTTTGAGATGCTGCGATGTACCTGTGTGATAACTTCCCAATTTATCCAGTCTCATCCGATTGAGCGATTCTGCTTTAGAAGAAAAAAACTCTTTCGTCTTCAATACCAGAGTAGGATGTTGTTGCTTCAAATGCCTTTCAAGGCGATTGGGCCTCATGCTATCATTACAGAAAACTTTCACGCGTATCACACACTGAGGCAATTGTAACTCGTCTTTTTCTATGAAGGTAAATCCAAACTTAACGTAATCTTCGGAAAACTTTCTTTTTTTCGCTGCCATTTTGTACCTCTAACAATAAAACTAATAAGTAATAAATAAATAAGCAAAATACCCACATGTAATCACTAATTAATAATAATAATAATAAATGCCTTTATTTCCAAACAGTTCTAAAAGAAAATCAGAAAGAGTATTAACCAAAAAAAAGGAAAATAAAAAAAAAAAAATAAATAAAACAAATGCCGACTGTCTGAAAACCACAAGGGGGAGTTCACTATCTAGTGCTCTTCCACTCATCCCTTGAAATTGTAAGAAACATTATGCCAGTAAATACATCCATCAAGCATATACAAACATCAATATGAACAGCATGTAAGTTTTTTAAAAATAAGATAGAACAGTGAGAAATGTGGTAATAAATTAAAAAAAAAGAAAGTCTAGAATAATATATAGATATATACTAAGTGACATATAAATCCGAACACCCAGTTTAAATGGTTTTATTTTAATAAAAGTTGGTGAATGTATTCATCTTACTATAAATAACAAGTGAAAAAATTTTCAGCCTTATCAGTAGGACATTCAGGTTTTTATACTGCTTTTTTAATTCACTAACGCTCTATGAATATTTCAGCCGCAGTAAAGAATCAACGTTGGCGGATTTTGGTTCTTGACATCCTTTACGATCGGTTACGATGCCTAGAGTACGGATACCTGTACGATTTCGTCAACTTAGTGAGTTTGATAGGGGCCGTATAGTGGGACTTCGGGAAGCTGGACTTTCTTTTCGGGCAATTGCAGTTAGAGTGCAAAGAAGTGTAGACACTGTGGTTAGGTGTTGTCAGGCATGGCTTCGAGAAGGCCGTACGCAAAGAGCAAGGGGCACTGGACGCCGCCGTAGAACAACAGACCGGAAGATCGCCGCCTAAGATTATTGGCCTTAAGGGACCGTTTTTCTCCACTACCAGGTCCATTGCAAATGAATGGTTTGCAGAACACGGAAGACCTATTGGCATGGGAAGTGTTTACCGACGAATGAGAAGTTTTGGCTTGTTTTCATACCGGCCACACTGGGTCCTCCCTTTAACTCGAGAACACCGACTAATCCGCCTTGAGTGGTGCAGACAACGGTCACTCTGGGATCAGGAATGGAACAGTATTGTCTTTAGTGACGAGTCTCGATTTTGTTTAGGCATGCACGATGGTCGTGCAGGGTTAGAAGGCGACGTGGTGAAGGAAAGGAATCCACAGTTTTTTGTTGAAAGACATGTTCATCATACTGTTGGAGTTATGGTTTGGGGTGCTATAGCTTATGGTTCCAGGTCACCTTTAATCTTCATCAGAGGTAACATGAACGCGCAGCGTTATATCCACGAAGTTCTAGAACCCCATCTTTTACCCTAACTTGACACCCTGGCAGATCCAACTTTCCAACAAGATAATGCCCGACCACATGTTGCAAGAGTCACAATAGACTTCTTTCAACATAATGATGTCACATTGTTACCATGGCCACCAAGATCTCCCGACTTATCCCCAATTGAGCACGTGTGGGATATGATGGGTAGGAGATTGCTCAATTTGCAATGTCCTCCTCAGACTCTAGAAGGACTTCGAGAGGAGTTGGTGGTTGCCTGGAATGAGATACCACAGGAGGGCATCCACACATTATTAAAGGTCAAAGGGCTTTAAAGCAATGCAGTCATTTTGAAATTTTTATCATTTACTTATTATGCTTCATTAAGTACTTATACATAATTTTATTAAAATAAAACCATTTAAACTGGGTGTTCGGATTTATATGTCACTTAATATATATACCCATACATACCGCATAAACAAACGCCAATATGAGCGACAATTAAGTTTGAAAAAAAAGAGCAAAGAGAAAACTTGGTGGTAAATTTAAAAGTCTAGAATGATATATAAATACATATACGTACATTATGCATCATATAAAAAAAAATATAAATAAAATAATGGAATGCAAACAAATGAAATTTGAAATTCCTCAGTAAGAATAATTCTACTTACACATTCAAGGTAAGAATCACGCAAAACCGCTTTGAACTTGTGAATTTCATATGATTTGAGATACTGGGGAATAGGATTGTATAGCTTTATAAATAAAATTTATTTCGGTGGAATGGAGCGGTAATGTTTTGTTTCGAACGAATATTTGCGGAATGGATGTCTTTTCTGAATGTTATTTCGTCGTAGAGGGCCTGAGAGTTAAAACTTTATGTTAAAAGCATATTGTGAATATCTCAAAACGAGCCTTAATATTTAGCCACCGGAGTTCTTTCAGCTTATGACTAACTCTTTTAAATTTTCTTATGCCATATATAAAACGTATGCATGAGTTCTGTGTTCTCTGTATTCGCATGAATGTATCACAATCTAAACATGCAGAGTAAATTGGAACACAGCACGAAAACTGTGATAAAACCAAGGTTTCGCAAAGAATTCTTTTGATGTCTAAATTGAGAAAATTTCGGTGAGGATACAATAATTTTAGAGCCAGATAAGATTTTTTGATACAGTTTGATATGTGCTCACGAATAACGTAATGTATTCAATAGTGTATTGGCCACCGGGAAATTTATATTTTTGTAGCCAGGTTGACGTTATAATAGTAATTTTAAATACATCTGGAATCAATATTAGGTACTTAAAGTTTGTCGTTTGAAAATTATTTCGCCACGTTGGTTTGATTGTGATGTGGTAAAAAAGTGCTAATGGCCGATCTATCAACGCATCTCCAGTCAATCAACAATTTAGTAAATTAAATAAAATGGTAACTGAAGTTCGTAAATACATAAACTTACCTTTTAACAGTGAGTCACAATAATTTGTCACACTCAAACAGATTTCTCAACAAAAGATGTAAGTACATCGGATCGTCAAATTTTTCGCAAGTTTGTGGAAATGAATGTCACAGGTACACAATTGTTTTCTAAGTGATGAATGTTAAGTGGATCGCGGCGGGGGTACGTGCGGATTTCATGTTGTGACTTGTCGAAACTTGTATAAACTGCGATTCACGATGCCGGGCTTTGGAACAGCGGTTGACAGAATAAGTGAATATGATATTTAATTTCTAATTTTATGTGTGTAAATTAGACATTACATAGTAATGTTATTTGTTAACGTTGTATGCTTATTTTTTTGTTTTTTCTTTCTAAAATGCAAACGCTTTCCGCCCCCCTTGAGATCTCTCTATGCGCCCCCTGGTTGGGAACTCCTGTTCTAGTGCAAGATCCCAGTAATACCAGACGTTACTTATTTTCTGAAAAAACAATTCGAGGCGCATTACGTTTATATACCTATACTGCTAACGCCTTCATACCTACTGATTTGGCTAGAAGGCTGATTGACTAGTACCAGATGAGAAGGGTTGAGTAAAAATGAGACCAACTTGAATTCTGATGGCTGATTTTTATATTTACTTTGAAAAACATTATCGCAAAGTAATATTCCGCACTGTCAGACACTCTTCATTCGCCCCAATCAATTCCAGGATTAAAAAAGGAGCCAAGGCTATATTTTTAAAATGCATTGTTTGTCGCCAAAATTGCGTAGTTTTAGTGCATGTTTTTATATATACAATAATAAAAATTACCGGTGGAAACATCTTCCTCCATTAGGCCTGTGCTTCTCTTTGCAGATTATGTAAGAGGTACCATGTTTCGTATAACACCACAATTTTCTGCAAAAACTCGCATTTATAAAAATAACACGAACATGAATTTAAAGACAGAACTCAAAATAATAACCTATGGTATGTCAAGTAAACTTGTAGAATGAAATATGTCCCTTTTCTACAGGCTATGAGAATTACAAATCCTTGACTGGCTCCGTCTGAATTCGTTGGTCGGCCCTAACTTTTCCCAGGCGCGTTAAACAAGGTGTCCCTCGGTAAATTGACCTCTCTAACTTATTTGTAAAATGGTTTAGAAAGAAAATTTTCATATAAGAACAATAGAGTCTAATATACTAAGTGACATATAAATCCGAACACCCAGTTTAAATGGTTTTATTTTAATAAAATTTTGTATAAGTACTTAATGAAGCATAATAAGTAAATGATAAAAATTTCAAAATGATTGCACTGCTTTAAAGCCGTTTGACCTTTAATAATGTGTGGATGCACCCTGATGTGCTACGAATTCTCCAACGCGCCTAGGCAGGCTTCTGATCAGGTGGTCAATGTCTTCCTGTGGTATCTCATTCCAGGCAACCACCAGCTCCTGTCGAAGTGCTTCTAGAGTCTGAGGAGGACGTTGCAAATTGAGCAATCTCCTACCCATCATATCCCACACGTGCTCAATTGGGGATAAGTCGGGAGATCTTGGTGGCCATGGTAACAATGTGACATCATTATGTTTAAAGAAGTCTATTGTGACTCTTGCAACACGTGGTCGGGCATTATCTTGTTGGAAAGTTGGATCTGCCAGGGTGTCAAGATAGGGTAAAAGATGGGTTTCTAGAACTTCGTGAATATAACGCTGCGCGTTCATTTTACGTCTGATGAAGATTAAAGGTGACCTGGAACCATAAGCTATAGCACCCCAAACCATAACTCCAACAGTATGATGAACATGTCTTTCAACTCTAACTGCAATTGCCCGAAAAGAAAGTCCAGCTTCCCGAAGTCCCACTATACGGCCCCTATCCAACTCACTAAGTTGACGAAATCGTACAGGTCTCCGTACTCTAGGCATCGTAACTGATCGTAAAGGATGTCAAGAACCAAAATCCGCCAACGTTGATTCTTTACTGCGGCTGAAATATTCATTTTTAGAGCGTTAGTGAATTAAAAAAAAGCAGTATAAAAACCGGAATGTCCAACTGATAAGGCTGAAAATTTTTTCACTTGTTATTTACAGTAAGATGGGTCTAATATAAAGTCATGCTAGGTCATGATGTCTCAGAAAAATCCTATCGCATAAGTTGTATTTTTTAAGTACTGACACCCAGTATCAAAAAAGCATTCCATAAATTGTTGATAGTAGACTTTATACTTATTGGATGAACCATTTTATTCTTATCGCTCATACAAAAAGTTAAAGGGAACAATTGTATAAAGAAACAGGCAGAAATTGTGCTGAATATTACTTAGTAATATTTTGAAAAGCCTATTTAAAGCTCATCGTTAGAATTTAAATTCGTCTCAATTTTTACTCAACCCTATGCTACACGATAGATCTTGATAAAAAGGAAGCGGGATCCGGTAGGGCGGGAATATACTTGGAAAGGCGAAGCATGAAGGAAAGTTTTGTGCTTGGAAACCTGCCCAACGATCTCCCAGAGAGAGATATTTGCCATCTAATGGTGGCTTACGCGGAGCAATATTCATATGTTTTGGCAGCCAAGCGGCCTTGAAGGCGGTGAGATCCCGAGGACAAGGACCCCCTTAGTTCAGAAATGCACTACTGCCCTTCAACGCTTAGCCTGACTTAAAGAAGTGACCCTGCTTTAGGTCTCCGGACCCAGCGGAGAGCCGGGCAACGAAAAAGCAGATCGTCTGGATAGGCTGGGGGCGAGAAGCACTTGATCGGTCTCGAGCCTAGGCTGGGCATAAGCAGGAGCCAGGTCAACACGATCCTGAATGGATGGGTGCATATGGAACTGGAAAGACCGTGGCGAGAAAGAGAGATGACTGCAGACAGGCTGCTGGACAGGGGTAGAAAACCACTCAATCTTCTGGCGGCGGTTCTAGCCGGTCGCTAGAGACTGAACAGGCACTTATCCCTTCTAAAGGTGGAAAGAGATCCAACATGCCCCAAGTGCTGGGAGGAGGTCGAAACAGCTTTACATTCTCTGGGCTATTGCCCCGTGTATTGCTGTCTAAGGGCTGAAATATTCGTGACCACGGAATCGGTTGGTGAAGTTGCTTATTCAGATTGGATTCGCCTCCCCATCACCACTACTATTACTTAACTTTATTCATACCAGAAAATCGGCCCTCTACCTAACTAAGCAGGTACGCAGGCGTTAAAAGTACATTTAAACGTTATTGAATGTTCTACGTTTTGTCTTGCAGCAAATAAGTAATTTCTGGCAGCCCTGGGATCTTAGACTATCCATTTTCTGACTATTCTTTGATAGGAGTACATCGAGATTTCCGCTACATATGCTGCTCTGCGCTCTCAAGTACCTAATCCAAATAAAAATGGCTTGGTTCACAAAACACTCACACTAATAAGATTATCAAACTCCGCAGTAAATCTGTAAATCGCTCTTTTTCTTGAACTCGTATTTATCCTAGTACCTGAATCAACACGCTGGCAGATGCTCGTCTATATTATTTTATTTATTGCTGAATTTTTCGTCCTTATGAATATATTAATAGCTATTTATGTAGATAGGGTTGGGAGATTGTATTCCCAGGAGCGCTTGAGTATGAAACTCCTCGAATTTTGGGAGTTTATTTATAATGGAAATTGAATATTAGGGAGCGTTACATTTAAGAATTCATTATCGCTGAATTTTGCTCTTGATTCTAGTAAAGGCAACTAATTTTATATAAAATATTTTGACTATGTCAATTTCTTCAGTTTATGTAACGAAGCTACGAGCAGTAATAAAATAATAAAATAATAAAATGTGCTAAACAGTACCATTTACATTTTTTTACATAAGATTTTACATTTTTTTTTCAAAACTGGTTTTAAGTAGTTTGATCCAGT